ACTAAAACAACCTAAAAAAAAAACCTTTTAATTTTTATTAAATATTTGGTTAAATCTAATGTTAACTTTTTAATAACTTTTTAAAAATAAGTATATATCCACTGAAAAAAATTACACCTCTTTTTATTTAGTTCATAATAAAATCTTTAGTATTTAATTAAACTTTTTTAAATAATAATAAACACTTTTTTTTATGCCATAACCTATATTAATTTAATTTAACTATAAATAATAGCCATAATAAAAATAATCACCTCACCAAAGTTTTATAGTAAGTAAGTCATTGTAACGTCTTATTCAACCTTAGACCTTAATTTATATTTAATCTCACCTAAAATCAATCTCTCGTCTAAAAATCAACCGATTAAAATCAACTCACAGCGTAAAATACAATCCAATCGTGCACACTCACATTCACAATTCACTCACCTACCCCTTAGCGCTTTCATGCGTGTGTATGGCTTTATTTTCCGCAATTTATCTTCCGCAATTTATCTTCCGCAATTTAATATTATCGCAATTTATCTTTCTCGCATCGCATTCCGTCCAAAGAAAAAACCTACACATAATTCAACAATTGTGTGTAGCGCATATCATTTGCATCATAATCTCCTTGATCCTTGATCCCATTCAAGTTGATCTTTAAGATAGATCCTACCCCATAGGAAGGACCTTGTCTCTTATCTCTACAACTTAGACAAAACACAATCGACAACACAATACAAATATATTCAAACACATTAGAGAAAGATGCCAAATCATCTTAAGCGAGAAAGAATCTCCACCCCACACCAATACAATCAATTCGTAGGAACTTTGCCTTAAGAGAGGTGTACCTCGTCGATCCCTATCCGAGTACGTAAGTCCTTCTCTTAAGACGATGCAAAGACTATTTTCCTACAACTTGTGGCGGTTAAATCTCCCTTAAAATGACAACTCATCCTTTCTCCTAAAATCAATCAATCAACTACCCTAAACCCGTAGGAACTTTGACAGCAGTCAAAGAACTCCTCAAACCCTTTAGGGGAACTACAAATACTCTGATTCCACTCCCGTAAGGATATGTAGGCATAAGATGCGACATTTTATCGAGTATACTTAGAAATAAACCACTAGGGTCCTTTAAACATTAAGCAGATAAACCATAGCAATAAACAAACATAAAACAAGAGGTTTCTGTAGAGTACTACAGAAACTTAGGATGCTAGCACCTTCCCTAAGTTTAACCAACCCCCGAACCTAAAACTCTCTAAACCTTGCATTCGCATTGCATTGTGGGAATTTCGATCTTTACCCCTTCCTTTGGACAAATCAAAGTTCGGTTGCAAAATGAATTAAAGATTTAAACTAATCAATAGTTTGGTATCCGATTTTCACCGCGACACCTAGGCCACGTTCACTCACGGCTCTCAGGGGTTTCTTAGGCCTCGCCAGGTTTTATCGATGATTTGTCTGTCATTATGCCTCTCTAACCGATTTATTACGTTCTACTAAGTTAGTTTGGAGTACATCAGCAGAGTCATCTTTTACAACATTAAAACAACACATGACAAAAACTCATGTCCCATGTCTTCCTGATTTCCCTAAGATCTTTGTCCTGGAAATAGATGCTTCTACAGTTGCTATTGGAACTGTTCTTTCTCAGCAAGGCCACCCTTTGGCTTTTTTCAGCAAAAGGTTGTGCAATAGGCTCCAGGCTTCCTCCGTCTACGTTCGTGAAATGTATGTCATTACAGAAGTCGTTAAAAAATGGCGCCAGTATTTGATAGGCAGACATTTCCATATTTACACTGATCAAAAAAGTTTGAACAACTTGTTAGTTCAAACAATTCAAACACCGGAACAACAAAAGTGGGCTGCTTAGTTGCAAGGGTTTCATTTTGAAATTTTTTACAAACTTGGAAAATCTAACCAAGTTGCAGATGCTTTAAGTCGAATTCCCAGCTCAAACAGTACTACTAAAATTAAACCGAAGGACAAGACCTAGTCAAGAATGTGTTATCTGAGAATAAACAGCAAGTCTTTTTTTACATCAAAGATAATTTATTGTATTACAAGGACAAAATTTATATACCTCCCATTGACAACTTGAGACAGAACATCTTGACGGAATACCACTCCACACCCATTGCTGGCCACTCGGGACTCCAACCGACCCTTGCTAGGGTCTCTAGCGCTTTTCTCTAGCCTGGCATTTTCAGAGACACGAAAGAGTTTGTTAAAACTTGCTCAGTTTGTCAAACAAACAAGTACAATACCAAGAAGAAACAAGGACTTATTCAACCTCTACCAGTACCGAATCAAGTTTGGGAAGATTTAACTATGGATTTTATCACACACTTACCAGTTTCGTTTGGTCATACTGTTATCTGGGTAATTTGTGGCCGACTCAGCAAATTTTGCCACTTCATTCGACTCCCCACCAAATTCACAGCCAAGGACTTGGCCTTACGTTTCTCGGTCGATATTTGTCGGCTTCATGGGATCCCATGCACAATTATTTCCGACAGTGACCCCATCTTCCTCAACACTTTTTGGAAGGAGTTGTTTCATGCCCAGGGTACCACTTTGAAATACAACACCGCCTACCACCCTGAAACAGACGGTCAAACTGAAGTTGTTAATCGCTGTTTAGAAACATATCTACGTTGCTTCACAAGTGAACAACCAAAAAAATGGTTTCAATACTTACACTTAGCAGAGTTTTGGCATAATATCGCCCTCCACAGTTCCATCAACATGTCCCCTTTCGAAGCCCTCTATGGTCAACCTCTACCTTCTTTTCCCCATTACGACCCAGGCTTCTCATCCCTTAACGTTGTTGATGTTTCCCTACAAAACAGAGATGAAGTTCTTAGAATTTTAAAAAGAAATCTAGAGCGTAGTAGAAATTGTATGGAAACTCAAAGTAACAAAAAATGACAAAACATAACCTTTGCCGAAGGTGATTTGGTTTTACTTCGTCTACAGCCGTATCGCTAAAGCTCCGTGCAAAAACGTGTTTCGAACAAACTTGCAAATCTATTTTTTTGGACCCTTCAAAGTACTTCGACGAATCAGAAACGTAGCCTATCAACCGGACCTTCCTGATTCATCCAGAATCCACCCTGTTTTCCATGTCTCGCAACTTCGAGCTTTCCATGGTACGGATCCGGCTCTGCATTTCCAACCACTTTCAACTGATTGTGAGACCACAAATGATGAAGATCCTCCACATGCAACACGGCTTGAAGACACTCAGACCCACAACGACCAACCTCAGAGTCATAGACCTGAATCGAACACTGAAGCAGCGTTGCATGCAGAAAATAAGAATGTATGTGGAAAATAAGTTTTTGGAAGAGAAGCAACAAGAGGGTTAAAGAATAGAGAAGAAGCAACAAGTGACAAAGAAAGTGAAGAGAGAAAGGATCGAGAATCTCTTAAAATAAATACCATTATTCAAAGTGACAAAGTCATCAATGTTATGACTACCTTTGTGGCCTCACGTGTTCCTAACAGGAGAAATTCACTTCCCAACGCTGCTTTTCCTGACCTCGAGCCACGCGACCTGCCAAATGTTCCCAGCCCGCGTCCAGCTGTCTCACACTTTCCTTTAATGGACAACGTGCTGGCACCCATTCCCACGTCCTACGATTTTTCCTTTTCTCCTCCAAATTCAACTTCTCCTCAACCTTCTGGGTCAATTAAATGGGCCAAGGTTTTTACCAAGCCTCCCTTTAAACCCAACCTTAAGAACAAAGTTGTCATTGGATCGAATAGTAATAATAATAAACCAATAAGAAAAAAAAGTCAGCTCAAATGGATGCAGATTTTATAACAAATAATTAATATGGTGTTTTAGTTTGTAGACTGACCCAAGTGAATTGTTTTTTAAGATTTAATTTTTTTATTTTATTTAAATACTATTATGTCTAGTTAAAAGGATAGGAATGAAAACAATACTTTTCTATTATCTTTTTCTTGTTATCTTAGTTATAAAATTCCTTATTCCAACTCTTCACATAAAACCTTTGTAAGATAGAAGTGTTTGAATTCTTATTTATTATATCATTTATTATTTTTGAATCCTCATTAACCCTAGATCTTAGTTATAAAATTCCTTATTCCAACTCTTCACATAAAACCCTTGTAAGATAGAAGTGTTTGAATTCTTATTTATTATATCATTTTCTTTTTAAAAAAGAAAAACCTTTGCAATTGCTTATAAAAATAAAAGCAAAAAATACTTTGCAACAGTGTTGGCATATTTCTTTTAGTCCTTCCAAGATACTCAACATACTTTTAAAGGACAAATAACATTGTTCTCTTTTTTACTTTTCAAAAATGCAAATTCAACTAAAACAAGTCATCTGTGTTAGTAACACCAACAGAATTTTCAAAAATGAAAATATAGTCATGTGTTAGAAATAGCACCAACAGAATTTTCAAAAATGAAAATCTATGTCTATTGATCTTCTTTAATCAATTATGAATACATACAAAGCTATATTTATTTATCTTATATGTTTAATCAATTATGAAGACACATTTTCAAATTTCTTGACTCATTACCGAGGATAAAAGGTTAGGTTAAAATACCCTTGGCCTTGTAATGCTTCATTCTTGAACTTCTCTCATTGCACTTAAAACTCACAATTTCTTTATCCAAATCATTTTGGATATTGCTAAAAAATCTAAAAATTAATCCTAAAAAAAGTACACTCCAGAAAAATATTTAGTCTGAAAATATACTTCTAAATAAATATATTTTTTGGTGCATCAAAATAGTTATATTCGTAGAAGTGGAAATGCTGTGAGAATTTCAACTATTATTTTTAAAGGTTTTAGAAAAACAAAAGCATGTGCTATGTGGATGCTTCTAACATGAGACCAAACACAGCACTAGCAAACAACAGAACAAAAACACATACTACAATAGTTATATACACACATAGGATCTTCTCTTTTATGACAGCAGAATTATACAACACTTGTGGTAGAACATCTGATAAGAAAGCTCAAAGCTCATCATCTCCACGTTTTCCACCCAATTTATCTTTCAAATTTTGTGATTTTTGCTTTGCCTTCTCAGCAATGTATTCCCCTGTTCATCACTCATACAATAAGCACTTAAGATGACAAAATGTGTTTACTAGAAATGTTAGTAATAGAAAACAAGTTTGAAATGTACAAACCAGATGCAGCAGCGTTTTTCTGAGCACTATCAGTTGCATGTTCAGAAGCCTCTTTGGTTCTCTGAGCAGCATCATTTGCATGTTCTGAAGCCTCTTTGGTCTTCTGAGCAGCATAACTAGCGTCGTCTTTGGACTTGTATGAAGCATCATTGGCATACTCTTTTGTCTTTTCTGCAGCATCACCTGCATAATCTTTGGCCTTCTGTGTAGCATCACCTGCATAATCTTTGGATTTATATGCTGCATCACCTACATAGTCTTTGGTCTTATATGCAGCATCTTTGGTCTTCTGTGCGGCATCACCGGCATATTCTTTGGTCTTCTGTGCGGCATCACCGGCATATTCTTTGGTCTTCTGTGCGGCATTGTATGCAGCATCACCGGCATAATCTTTGGCCTTCTGTGCGGCATCTTTTGTCTTCTCTGCAGAATCACTTGCATACTCTTTCGCCTTTTCTGCAGTATAGTCGTTTGTCTTGTACGCTGCATCTTTCGACTTCTCTGCTGCATCACCTGCATACTCTTTAGTCTTCTTTGCAGTATTGTATGCTGCATCCCCAGCATAATCTTTAGTTTTATATGCTGCATCTTTGGTCTTCTCTGTGGCGTCACTTGCATACTCCTTAGTCTTCTCCGCTGCATCACCAGCATATTCTTTAGATTTGTACGCGGCCCCGGTGACATATTCTTTGGCCTTCTGTGCAGCTTTTTGTGCAGCATCAGAAGCATATTCTTTAGCCTTATGCAAAGCTTCACCAGCAAAGTCTCTGGTGTCCTCTGGAGCATCATCAGTATAATAACAACCAGTATTCTCAGTAGCATCACCGGCACAATGTTTGTTCTTCTCAGCAGCATCAGTTGCATAATCTCTTATCTTTTGAGAAGCATCCCAAGCATTGTTTTTTGTTTTCTCAGCAGCATCTTGGGCTTGATCAGAGGCTTTTTTAGCAGTTTCACTAGCATAATCTTTGGTTTTCTGTGCAGTGTCTGAAGCATAGTCAGATGCTTTGTGAGTGGTGCTATCCTTATCTTTGAAGCCAAGTCCTTCAGTGAGTTTCTCTTTGGCCCATCCAGTCCATGTTTCTGCGGCTTCTTTCCCTTCCTTTCCCGTTTCTGATGCTTTGTTGGCAGTTTCCATAGTCTTGGCTTTCACATCTTGAAAATCACGAGCTTCCTCTTCTTTTGAGGGCGTGTGACCAACACTAGAGGATTTACAGTTAATGGCAAACAACACAAGTAACACAAATGTCACCAAAACAACCCTTGTAGCCATCACCATGTAGTTTTATCTGTGACAACAACAAAATGAAAGGGAAAAATGTGTTGACAAAAATGGAAAACTTGTTTTTGTGATTTGCAAATTGTAATGCAGAATTTGAGAGAAGAGAAAGTGGTAGAATGAATGAGAGAGGTTAGTATGGAGGAAGTTTATAAAAGAGGAGTTGAGGGACGTGGTTGCAGGGTAACATGCAACGTGGCTTGTTTAAGAACATGTGGAATTTTACGTGTCAGTTATAGAAACAAAGTGTGTTTCATCATTACTGGTTTTTGTTTTGTTTCTCATGTTGCGGTTTTCATGTCGGCGTGTACGTGTCATAAACAATACAGATGCACCGTTTGATTCATTTGATGTATTTTATGATAAAATAAAAGTAACGAAAGTAAATCAAAACAGGTTTTTTCTTTGCCTTTTCACGTATGTGTTTTTTTCGATTGATTTAGCTTCTTCCAGTTCTATCCTTGCCACCGTCACATTCATTTATATTTTTTTTAAATATTTCATGAGATTGAAGTGCGATTTCTTAGTATTCAAATTATTTCATCTATTAAAAAAATAGTTGGAAGAGATGATAAGAGATCTTTTCAACATAAACAGTCCTAGGTTCGAATTTAAGTTCTAAGCACGCAGCAATTTTAAATTTTATTGAAAAAGAACTTAGATTAATCTTTACCGTTTACAGAAAATATCGAAAAACTATTTCATTTAAAATTATCTTTGGAAAATGATATTATGCTTGATAAGCAAAAGCACATAAAGATACATACTTGTTTGGGCTAAAAACAAATCTACATTTGTCTCCAATAAGGAGAAATTAATCTTAAACTACTATCATGAAAATATCTCTAAATACATATCATTCAAAAAGCTCTTGCTTGTAGCTCAAGATATCTCCCACCAGTCATGATGTCATGAAGAAACCACAGTTGTACAACTTTGAAAACTAAAAAAGGCTCCCCCAAACACTTTTCCATCAAATCAATAAATGAAATGGCAATGACCAAAGTCCAGACAGAAAAACACATGGTCTTGGTTCTATCTAAATTGAAGTAATTTGTTCTCTGCTAGGTAACAATTGATCGAGAGTAAAACATGACAAAATAAGCCGACTAATCTCTAGATAGGAAGTGCGTGAATTTGGAGACTCAAACCATCTCCATTGCCATTCTCTATCATGGTTGAAAATATTTGCATCTTGCTTTATTCAAAATTCCCTGAGTCACACAGAAATTGTCATTGTTGTTGCCTGCTTGTAAAAATAATCATGTAACTCCAAACGACCAGTAATTACAAATTCAATGTTATAGTATCAAACATCAAAAACATATTCTCAAATTTGGGATGCATCATGACAGATTGTCATATATGAAGACATAGCAGGATAATAACTTCTGAGAGACTTACTATGCTGCAAAACTATGGAAGTTTGCACGTCTTCCGATTGTGACCAAGCCCTTTGCATTTGCCACATTGAAGTTGACGTTTAATTATGTCTATCGATTCAACCTGCTTTGTTTTTGGTCGGCCAGGAGGCCGCTTAGTTGGTGGAGGGGTTACTATGGTAACTGCCATATCCGGTTCAACCTGGACTGGTCTGTCAATATCCGGAAGCGCGTGAATTGGTTCGGCATATGTTAATCTGTAATTCTCAACTGTGAAGTATCTGGAACAGTAATCATATAGGTCCCTACCAACACATTCAAAGACAGCAATAGCATGGCAGCAAGGAAGGCCACTAAGTTTCCATCCCCTGCAGCTACAATCCCAATTGTCAATATCAACAAGTTCAACAGATTCTCCGCAGACCTCAAATGTCGTACCTTGTGAGAGCAACACTTGTAGTGAGCGAGCATCTGATGCTTCCTTTTGGATCATTTCCTCCTTGGAAGGTGTCAATTTCGTTATCCATTGATTAGACTCTTCTCGACGCGTGCTAATTGTTTCCATCATATTACCTCGTAATACATCAATCATTTGAGTAATTGGCAACTCGTGTGCCTCTGAGACCCAACTGTAAAACTGCTGTCCAAAATTTGATGTCATATGATTATACCTAGTTCCATTGAAGAATGCATTGGACCAGTGCTCTGGCTCACTTTGTAAGACCCAGTTGTAGGCTTCAGGAGAAATACCTTTTATATTCTCAATACTACGTTCGAAAATTTCTGGTTTGGTTGCGTATGCAGCGGCATAAAAATCATTAACCATGAAACGTCTGGCTTCATGAGAGAATTGCCCCTTCAAATCTCTGTTCAGTTTGTCAGCAAGGTGACGTAAACAATAGCCGTGGTAGCAGTTTCCAAATATCTCAGACAATGACTTTTTTAGCCCATTCTGAAAATCTGAAACAAATGTAATCTGTTCAGATGTTGATAAAGCTGATTTCAGCTCCTGCAGAAACCAATGCCAGTTGTCTTCAGTTTCAGCATCTACAACAGCAAAGGCTACAGGAAAAATGCCATCATTTCCATCGACAGAAATTGCAGCTAATAATTCTCCTTGATACTTTGAGTTTAAAGGAGTTTTGTCAAGGAAAATGAGAGGGCGGCAGGCTTGCTGGAAACCAGTTAATGAGGCATGGAATGATACAAAAAGACGATGGAAACTTGAGTCCTCTTTCGTCGTGAATGTTGCAAAACTACCTGGATTTGTCTCTTTTATCTTCTCACAGAAGAATGGCAATTGAGTATATGCTTCTTTATAGGAGCCTTGAAGTTGTTCTCTAGCAATTTCTTTTGCACGCCATGCTTGAGAATAATTTAACTGTATCCCATACTCGCGCTTTATGTCATCTGCAATATCCTTTGGCTTGTAATTGGGTGAAGCTTTCAATTTCTCTTTTATAATACTTCCCACCCAACCTCTAGTTGCACGATACCCAGCTTTGACAGCTGATCCTTCACAAGTATGGTTTCTGGTCATTTTCTTGATGCAAATCAACTGAGTGGTTGATAACTTTGATGCATATATTCTCCAGGGACAGCCTTGAGATTTACATTTGACCGTGACACGGTGACTATCGTTTTTCTTATATCTGTAAGCAAAACCATGTGCAATAGAGTACTTATGCAATGCCTCTCGGAATTCGCTAAAACTATTAAACCTTTGGTCGACACCAGTGATGGTATTTTCCCACTGCTGTGCTGCTCTATGAGGCTTATCATCATTGGCCCCGGAACAAAGAGATTGAGAAGGGGCTTCATTAGCTATATCCATCTCAACTTGTTCAATGGATTGTGCGGCATCAACGGCTGCTATATTAATAGGGAGAACATCAGGAACAACAGCTTCTGACACAGTTGTCCTGCTTGACCTGCATTACCATAAGTTCTATAAAATTTCAAAAAAACTCACGGGTAAATGCACATGCATATAAATTGTTTAATACTATAAGATCGAGAGGGGGTAACAAAATCATAAAACATAAGATCGTAACAAAAATCGTAAGATACTACTAAAATGAAAAATAATACTAGATATTTGAAGTATTTTTACATGATATTTTGCTAGGCAAGTGTATTCGCGGGAAATGACCTTTCATCATATATTTTAGACGTGTATGATTAAGTTTTTATACTTATTACCATTTATCACAAGAATTTGTTAGACATTAGGAACATATTTGGTCCATTATATTAATTGGTTTATCATAAGTCTAATTTAAAACAAACCCTACAAGTTACACTATATATGTTTATTCTATAAACCCTAAATCAAAAACTCATCATTTCAAAAGGCATGCATTCATGAACTCCAAATCGTAATTGTTGCGCCTCTGCATCTCGGTGGTGGCTGGAAAATGGCCGATCAAGATCCCTCGTAATCCATGATTTTACGATTCTTTTCACAATTTAGCTACAACACACGATTCTAATTAAGATCTAGATCATTGGAGGTGAGTGAGGACTTAAAATCTCAAGATTTTAAGATTTAAATCCAGATTTTGACAACCATGATGTCATGGTCATTCATATTGGTCCCAACCACAACATCCCAACTATGCAGGTCACGTTTTCATCTAGAAACAAATGAAACATGGCTATCAAAACATGAATTTAAAGACCTACTTTCTGAATCGTAAATCTCATCATAATGAATTGGAATTCTTCATAATGAGATTCATGTTCATACACACTAGAGATTCATATCAATTCAATTTAGTTTTGTATCGATATATAGCTCACATGTACTGCAGATACCGATAAATCAAGATGTAAAATGTGGTTAAAAGAAAAATGCACAACTCTCTAACATCATATACATCGATTTCTACTGTTACGAACCAATTTAAACTACATGATGTCTATCATTAGCAAAGAAGGTCTATAAAAATGAACATAAGGAATGATAAAAACAAAAGAACTTGAGAATAACTACCTACCTACTAGCAGGCATGTTGGAAGTATTCCGTGCCGCAACTTCCTCAGTTAACACAAACACATCAACCGTGGTAGCATCTCCAAGAAAACTAACCATGCGTTGTAAATCCTTGTCTTTCGAAACCGTAATGAGTGTTCTCTTATTGCCAGGCAGAAAGTACTTAATGCTCATGGTGTCCACATTGCAGTTAAACATTTCAGCAATTTCAGACTTGAAATCAGACAAAACAGTCTCCTGATCAATGTCAATTGCATAAGCATCACCTCCACTGTATGACATTGATCCATCTGTATTGCTCACAAACTCACCTCCTGATTGACATATAGCTATCACTTTCTTTGTAACTGTAGCCATAGCCTATCAAGAAGTAGCAATTTTTCCTTAATTTTTAAGTATTGATAGAATGTAACTGTCAGAAGTCAAATATCAGTGACATTCTGAACCCATAATTGCAAAAAGCACAAAGTCATACCGTTTCATTCAGTATCAAATCATAAAATTGAAATTCACAGAACAAAAAAATATAATCTTTGATTGAAAATTGTCGTAAAAATTCAATTTTTAATAGAAAAAAACACTGCGCGTAGAATAAATCAGTGATTTTGATGAGGGAAAATGAAGTTAAAACCATTGGAACAGAAAAATAAAGCGAGAGAAAACGACGAAAGAGAAAGGGAATGAGATAGAAACCTAAACAGCAGAAATGGTGGAGACCGTCGCCAATCAGAGAGTCTAATTTTCTGAAACTGTTATTATCTCGCTACGACGACGTATTTTCTTTCTGTTTTTTTGTTTTTCTTTTAGGTTTTTTATTAATTGAAAATTTGCTGAGACAAAATATGTAAAATAAATTTATATAAGAAAACAATTAATCTCATTAAAAGAATAAGAATCCTAAAACACACCCAAACATAATAAGGTGTCGCTTTGATGTCAGTTGTAATTAAGTTTTTTAGAAAAACAAATGTGTAATATAATGTGTGGGACAATGTGCATCGAAAGTTAAATGTGTAATAGACAGAAAAAAGGTAGAATAAAAATAACATATGAATTATTAACCTAGTTCAGTGTAATATCACCTACGCCTAGGGGACATTCAATCCAAGAAGGGAAATCCATTTTCAATAGTAAAAGTACAAATAGTCTTAAATGAACCACCATTGTTCAATGCATCTCTTACTAATATTACCTATGAGTTTCTATTCAGGACTCCCTGTAGAACGACTTCACTCCCAATAGTCAGAAGGATAAATGGGCTTACTCCGAACTCTCTCAATTTAAGGTCACTTTCCTAATACTACCCATGAAGATTCGTTTAGGCTCCCCCTGAATAAGAGACCCTTATCACTTTCACTCAAACACTCTCTTGGTGTTTATACAATTATAATAATAAGATGGATGGTATAACAACCTTATAACTTAATATTATATTCGGCTAATTTAGATAAGAAACACATGATTAGAGAGGGTACAAAATACAAAAAAAAAAAACAAATACACAAATAAAATAAAATTCTCCTAATGAGTAGATATTTTCTCTTGAAGTTTGAGTCTTCACAAAGGAGATGAACTACTTGTATAAACACAAAATTACATCTCTAAAAGCTCGTAAGGATTTAGGTCATGAATTCGGTTGGACTTCTAAAAAACACACATCTTTTCCAAATCCAAGCTTAGGCTATCATACTTATATCTCTAATGTTGTTTTCGGATTTGAAAAAATAGAGTTTGGCACAAGGAAATTATCGGGACGAGTCGCGTACTAGGTCGCTTTCTTTAAGACGTTTCGCCGTACTGCCAAATTATGCAAAGCAGTCGAATTTACGATGACGCCTCCAGGATAAAACAGCCCGTTCAAACAACTTACGATTATCAGTTGCACACTGATAAATCGCTCTAGAAATACACCTTTCAAAGTATCTGGTTAAAATAACCAGTCAAGAAAAGAGAAATAAGAAAGAGAATAGGGAAATCAAAATTCATGAATTTGTGAAATCCGGAGTGCTCACTACTGAATTTTTACCCTTTATTTATAGGTAGCTAGTGAGGCTGATATTTCCATTCCTCCAATGTGGGACTAAAATGAATTTTGTCAAATTCACTTTCCAATTCCCATTAATATAATTCTAACATCCAATGTGGGACTAACATGACTCTTTTCAAATTCACTTTCCAATTCCCATTAATATAATTCCAACATCCAATGTGGGACTAAAATGAATCTTTTCAAATTCACTTTTCAATTTCTATTACTATAATTATTATAGTTCCAACAATCCCCCACTTGAATTTAAAGGAAATTTTAGAAGTCCGTCAAACGTTTCTAAGATTGTGCATAAGCAAAGGTGTCTACGACTTGAACCTTAGCGTAGCGAGTAGGATTCTTATTCAACAAGAGTGACACTATTGTCTTGAACTCTATCTCGGACATCAGACCCGCACACAACCTTTCCGTAAGGTGTATTCTTGTAGCCCGTGCTTTAGTGGCCCTGCACGTGTATCCCGGTTTTAGTGAATGCTCTAGGAATTCTGCCTCGAAATTCCATAGGAACCGGCCTCAGTTCCACAGTCACATAGGTGAATCTATCAAGAGTACTCCTATAGCCTAGGTACTCCCTCATACAGAGAATAGATATCATTAAGAGTTTCTATTATCTCATCCTGTCATTACTTCAGGATTCATGCTTTACTTGCATGATCATTTTCATATTACTCACAACTTGTTATTACCCATTGAACCTAAGTCTTGGGATCTCCAGTCATTTAGGTCGGGTTACCATCATGAGTAACTAATTGCTTCATAGGCATTAGTCCCATCTTTTTGGATGTATTATGGACTTTCTCTCTAGCTAATCCTTTCGTCAAAGGATCTGCTAAGTTCTCATCAGTGCGTACATGATCCACTCTCACAGCTCCTTTAGATATACAATCTCTAACAGTGCTATGTTTTCTTCTAATTTGACGTCTTTTACCATTATAGTAACGATTCTCAACTTTTGCAATAGCCGCGGTACTATCGCAGTGGATCAACACAGCTGGTATAGGTTTTTCCCATAAAGGGATCTCAGCTAGCAAGCATCTTAACCAACTTGCTTCTTCACTAGCTGTAGCTAATGCTATCATCTCAGACTCCATTGTGGACTGTGCCAGAATGGTCTGTTTCTTTGATTTCCAAGATACAGCTCCTCCGGCTATACTAAATATATAACCACTAGTAGCTTTGGAGTCATCCGATAAGGTGTTCCAATCTGCATCACTATACCCTTCTAGTACAGCAGGAAATTTCTGATAGTGTAGGCCGAGGTCCATAGTCCTTTTAAGGTACCTCATTACTCGCTCAATAGCTTGTCAATGTTCGTTACTCGGCCTACTTGTAAATCTGCACAACAATCCTACGACATATGCAATGTCGGGTCTAGTACAATCAGTGGCATACCTAAGACTGCCAATGATGCTCGCATATTCTGCTTGTTTGACACTTTCTCCGGTGTTCTTAAACAGTTTCACACTTGGATCATACGGAGTGCATGCAGGTTTACAATCAAAGTATTTATATTTCTTTAAGATCTTCTCCACATAGTGAGATTGATCCAAAGAAATTCCTTGGTCGGATCTCGTGATCTTGATACCCAAGATCGCGCTTGCTTCTCCGAGGTCTTTCATATCAAAGTTATTGCATAACAATGATTTCATATCATTAATGGCCTGAATGTTTGATCCAAATATAAGTAGATCGTCTACATATAGACATATGATAGTACAAATGCGATTCTCAGATTTGTAATAGACGCAATTGTCACTTTCATTCACTTTGTACCCATTAATTATCATTAAGTTATCAAACTTTTCATGCCATTGTTTAGGGGCTTGTTTTAGTCCATACAGAGACTTATCTAACTTACAGACCTTGCTTTCTTGTCCTTGGATTACAAATCCTTCTGGTTGTTCCATATAGATTTCTTCTTCTAAGTCACCGTTTAAAAAAGCTGTTTTAACATCCATTTGGTGTACTATTAAGTTATAAATGGCTGCTATTGAAATGAGTACCCTAATGGATGTAATTCTAGTGACTGGAGAAAAGGTGTCGAAGAAATCTATATTTTCTCTTTGTCTAAAACCCTTGGCTACAAGGCGTGCCTTGTATTTCTCAATCGTTCCATCAGGTTTTAGTTTCTTTTTCAAAACCCATTTACAACCAATTGGTTTGCAACCCGGAGGTAAGTTTACTAAGTGCCAGGTCTTGTTAGATTCTAGAGAATCTATCTCATCATTAATGGCTTCTTGCCATAAGTCTGCATCCATAGATGACAGTGCTTCTTGAAGATTTATTGGATCTTCTTCTACATTATAGGCCGCATAATCGGGCCCATAGTCTTTAGCAACTCTTGCTCTTTTACTTCTTCGAAGCTCTGTTTCTACATTGTCGCTGCTTTCAGTGCTTTTTATCACAGGAATGTGACTCGATTGTGTGCCCCCACTATTTCTCGATTTGAAGGGAAATTTGTCTTCAAAGAATTCAACATCGTTTGATTCTATGATTACTCTGGCATTTAGGTCATAAAACCTGTATGCCTTACTGTTTGCTGCATACCCAATGAATACGCATTCATAGGCTCTACTAGCGAGTTTAACTCGTTTCGGATCCGGAATTCTGACATAAGCCAGGCAGCCCCAAGTTCTCAAATAATACAAATTTGGTTGTCTTTTCTTTAATATCTCATAAGGCGAGATCTTACTTTTCGACTTGGGAACTTTATTCAGGACATAGCAAACAGTCAATAAAATTTCCCCCCACCAGTGAGGTGCAGCACCAGAATTTAACATGATTGCAACTACAAGTTCAGTAAGAGTCCTATTCTTTCTTTCTGCTTTACCATTCATTTCAGGAGAGTATGGAGCAGTCGTTTCATGTATAATACCATGTTCAGCATAAAAATCATTAAACAAGCTAGAGTCAAATTCGGTTCCCCTATCACTGCGAAGTCTCTTAATCTTCTTGTTAAATTGATTCTCAATTTCAGTTACATACACCTTAAACATGTCAAGCGCTTCACCTTTATTCTTCATTAGATATACATAAGTATAATCAGAGAAATCGTCAATAAAAGTGATAAAATAACGTTTATTATTTCTAGTTAAACTTCCATCTAATTCACATATATCAGAGTGTATAAGATCTAGGGGATCAGATTCTTTTATTATTGATTTATGTGAAGTCTTTGTTATTTTAGCTTGACTGCAAAATTCACATTTATTGGAATCATTAATATTTAGTTTAGGGATTAGGCCTATGTTGCTTGCATTAGAAACGATTCGTTTATTAACGTGACAAAGTCTACCATGCCAAATATTAAAATCACACAAAAGGTAAACAGAAGGGGAAGTTTTATTTTTGAAATCTTTCCAACCAGGGGGCAGTTTGTCAATAATTACAGCAATTTGAAATTGTTCATTAAGGGGCATACCTTCTGTAATAATCTCATGAGCAATCTTCTGAATTTCGTGGCTTTGAGTTTCCACCGACTTCTCATCCACCATCTTGTAGTTCAAGTAGCGGCTGACAGAAAATTTCTTCGCACCTGCTTCTTCAGTATCATATTTCCTTTTCAGAGCCTCCCATACCTGTTTAGCAGTTTTGTAGCTACTGTAGTAGTCGTACAGATCATCAGCAAGGCTGTTCAGAATGTGATTTTTGCACAAATAATCATTCTCGTGCCATAAGGCGATTTCTTTTCGGAGCTGCAGATCATCTGCTGCAGCCTTAGCTTTTGCAGCATCTGAGTCAGACATTTTGGAAGTCCCGTCTGAATCTGCAAGTGAGTTACCGTTAGGTAGTTCAGATGATGCAGAAGGGACAACCGGGATATCCTCAGTCATAACGTGGGCAACCTTTTTCAGAGTTAAGAAAAATTTCATCTTAGCTTGCCAACGTTTGAAATTGGAACCCTCAAACCTGAAAGATTTGTCAGAGACCAAAGCGGCCGCAGTAGTACCGATAATTTCCTCAGTTGCCATGGCAGTTATGAAACCGTCTTAAAATTGTTGTTTTCGGATTTGAAAAAATAGAGTTTGGCACAAGGAAATTATCGGGACGAGTCGCGTACTAGGTCGCTTTCTTTAAGACGTTTCGCCGTACTGCCAAATTATGCAAAGCAGTCGAATTTACGACGACGCCTCCAGGATAAAACAGTCCGTTCAAACAACTTACGATTATCAGTTGCACACTGATAAATCGCTCTAGAAATACACCTTTCAAAGTATCTGGTTAAAATAACCAGTCAAGAAAAGAGAAATAAGAAAGAGAATAGGGAAATCAAAATTCATGAATTTGTGAAATCCGGAGTGCTCACTACTGAATTTTTACCCTTTATTTATAGGTAGCTAGTGAGGCTGATATTTCCATTCCTCCAATGTGGGACTAAAATGAATTTTGTCAAATTCACTTTCCAATTCCCATTAATATAATTCTAACATCCAATGTGGGACTAACATGACTCTTTTCAAATTCACTTTCCAATTCCCATTAATATAATTCCAACATCCAATGTGGGACTAAAATGAATCTTTTCAAATTCACTTTTCAATTTCTATTACTATAATTATTATAGTTCCAACATCTAATATAACAGAAAGGAAACAAATCATTAAAGGAAAATATACACTTCAATTTATTTTGCTCTCCAAGCAACCAGCCCGAGATAGATGTCTCACAGATCATAGAACATTTGGCTTGACATCTGTCCACGTGACAAGATTTTGAATCTTTAACAAATCAAATCAAATCTTTACTTGACATAAATCATAATTTCAACTTCTCAAATAAAGAATTAAGAATAAATCTCTTGCAAAAACTAAACCTCACTTTATCTTTTAATATCCAATTTCATCTTAATCTTGAATAAAAAAAATATGAAACAAATCTTCCTTCAAGACATATTCAAATAAATATTTTCTTTAAAGCAAATCCAATCAAATCAAATCTTCTTATTTGAATAAAGTATTTTTCAAATTGATTTGGATTAACAAGCCTTTTTCAAAAACAATCTTCTGCATCTTCTGAAGCAATTAAAATCGGAAAAAAAGAACATGAAGATAATCTGAAGATAATTAGAACCCAATTTCCATGCGAAGATGTCACACAACATGTGCTAAATATCTTGCTCAACAAGTTTCCTACATAAATTAGCCAATTACTTGGAACAACAAAAACTCAGCCTGAGAAGTATGAACAACGTCTGAGCCAGGATGTCATACAATATGTCAAGACATCATGCTCAATAAGTCGCTTACAAAAAAATCTTTATGTCAAGCAACTCTAGCAGAAACTTGAACATTGAAAAAAACTTGAACCAACTTTGGAATCACACATAGAACCAAATGAGTCAAGATGTGCTTCATAACTTTCACAACATCCTAATTTACATTTTTCCTATAAAAATAAGTTAATCTAAAGGAACAACAACCCATATATGCCTCCATTACAGGGTACTCTACATGAAGTACACAAAGAGAAAAAAATAAAATACAAAAAAAGACTTTAGGGGGACTAACGGGTTTACTTCCGCAGAGAAACGATCTTTCCATCTTTGACCAGTTAATCCAACTCGATTTGCTCCCTGGAGATAGTCAAAGGACGACGAAAATGCTTCACTTGATACAAATCACTCTCAAAAGACTGTGAAACTTCCTCTAGGGCAGCGCTCGTGCAGTCAGTCAATTGTTGAGTCAGTGAAGCATTCTAAAGGCGCAAAGACTGTAATTTCCTTAGACCAGATGACAGACTGCCCCAAATAAAAGTCAGAGTCTGGTTTTTCTTCCCACGGTCTTCACCATATAATTCACCTGGTCATAGAGAGAACAAACAAGATTAAAGGGAACCAATGAATTTTTCACCCTTGTGAGAGAGGTAAGAACTTTCTCTACTTCCTACAGATATTTATTATGTTGAAGCTTCAGATAGCGGACTATCTCCTCCAGTCATTGTTTCTTAACACGGTGCTAGTCAGACCAAAGAGCCTCCTAGTGGCGAGATCCACCGAGGGTTAAATCATAATTGCAATGGGCATATTGATCCATAGTAGCTAGTTCTTCCTCCAGAACAGGCTTGGGAAAATTAGTCAAGTAAGAGTAGTCCTCGTCCGAAGGAGATGTTTGGCGGCCCCCGGATGAACGGGAGTTGGACCTCGTCATCAATGAATGGGAATTCAAACCCAAGATACTCGGTAAAGTCGGCAGGATCTCCAAAGCAACGTCACTCTCGGTCGATTGTATTCCACGCCTTATAAGTTGGAGCTATACCTCAATCTTTATATAATATGCACATAATTATTGGTAAAGAAAACACGTCAGGAACAAGAAGATTAAAAACAAAAGAGCCTAAAGTTTTTGGGGCTTAAAAATACGACTTTTCTATCTTCATGTGAACGGGTGTCTATCAACAATCGAACATGAATAAGGAACTGCAAACATTTCTTTTCAGCCTCCTCTATGGGGATACCTCCTCTAAAGTATCCCGGATTGTTGATGAAACTCATAAACTGTTTCTTCTGATACATAGCCTCATCCGAAAGATCTTCTTCTATATATACATATATATTATTCCCCCATAAGAAAGTGACTTTTAGTCCAGTACTTAGGAACAACTCAACACATCTTCCCTCCATTCCATCCCCAACAACGCAAATTGTGGTGTGCTCTTTCGGGTGACCAAAAAAGAACCGATCTTCGAAAAACTATAGCTAAGGAAGAGGCCCAAATTCGCGCACAGTCAATTCCAAATAGATTAATCCTCTGCCCCGGGTCCGAGTCATAGAGCCACAACGACATTTAAAGAGAGGAAAGAAAAGGATCACGAAAGACTTTCCTTTCAGATATTCATATCAGAAGTTCTATCACGAAGGCAGTGAAGGATAGGCGAAGACCCAGGACCGAGAAAGTACATTCATAAAAGGAAATGGTGCAATCGCCATACTTGTCACATATTTTTTCGTCCTCGTTGGGACTCAAGGCTCCAAGTAAGAAGGTGAGCCGACTTCAGTAAAGGCGTCATATAGACCATCCTTTATAGCAAAAGCATAAATAATGGAAGAGTATACATAATCCACCTAAGAAGATGGAGTAATCTTCTTAAACTTGTGACTACTCTTCTGTGATTTCTTGCCCATAACGCACTAACTTTTCAGATGCAAGTATGAACGCCAAAGAAGATGGTTGTTAAGCTGGGAAAGTTATTCAAAGAAAGTAGGACAATTCTTTAAAAAACTATTATTTAGCATGCAAAAGACTCCACATAACGTGTCAAATCACTCATATGAATTACTCAAGAGTTTTGGTTCCCAAGAGCCATAATGATGATACTTCCAAAAAGAAGTCTTGAAGCATGAAGCGTTAAATGCACAAATCTTTAAGAAATTAAAGCTTTTCTCTTTTGTCCATCTAAAGGTGATCGATGGAGTGATCGACATCCGAGGCTGGCGTACCAAGTCCTCACCTTACTACACACAAACAATGTCTTGGGGGCAATTGTTCTTGGTCTGCCATATCAACCCTGGGCGATCACCATGAAGGAACCACATTCCTTCCAAAACATTCTGCAACTCACTCCTAACAAATAACGTCAAATTAAATTAACAAGTTTCAAATTCAATTTCACTTTTTACTCAACAATAGACTCTTAACCTTCTGAATCTTCCCACTCCATTGCATCTAAAGCTTTAATAATAAAAAAATTATAGGGACTAGATTATATATAAAATAGTATAGATAAGTATCATATTTAAATTTTCAAAATTAAATAATATTTGTTACTCTAAATTCACAAACATGTACTTTTCTTTTAAATAAAATGTGTTTTTATTTACAATTTCTCAATTATAATTTATAAAAAAATTAATATAATATGATTTTATATAAAAAAAATATTAGAATAATTATAATTTAATATAAAAAGACTAATTTATAAAAACAATGAAAATGCGAAAAAATTTATGACTCTTGAGATAGTGATTAAGAGTAAAATATAAAGGAAGATGGATAAAGAAGAATAGCGCATTGAAATTGATGTATGTTTGTGAGATGAGTTGTGCAGCAGCAGCAGCAACAACAAAACTGGTTGCTCCGTTTCCATCTCCAACATCGCTTCTTTCGGTATGTATCAATCCATACTTTTCTCTACCACTTTCTTCTTCTCTTTCTCCTCATAATTAATATCAGTTTTTTTTGTTTGGTGAATTTCTTAGTTGAATTCTAGTGATGCTGTGGAAGTGAAACCCAATCAAAATGGGTATAAATGGCGCTTGGTTTTGGCATATGATGGAACCAGATATGCAGGCATGTTTCTCTTTAACTATCTCAACAAAAAAATTCAGAATTTTTCTTTTTCCGCGTCCGATAATATATGGTTTGAACATGTGTTTATAATCGGAGACGGTTTTATATGTTCAGGTTGGCAATATCAGGAGTCTCCCCCTACGGTACAATGCGCGGTCGAAAAAGCTTTAATTCAAACAACAAACCTTCAAAGGAAGGAACTTCAGTTGGTTGGTGCAAGCAGAACTGATGCAGGAGTCCATGCCTGGGGCCAGGTCATACTCACCCTTGTTCCTTTTAAGCCATTTTTATCTTTCATATAGCAACCACTGGATTTGAATTTCATATCTTGTTATTACTACAGGTTGCACATTTTTATACACCGTTTAATTACGAAAACTTGGATAGAATTCACGCGGCTTTGAATGGTCTTCTTCCTTCTGATATCCGACTTAGAGAGATCAGCCCTGCGTCCGCCGAATTCCATGCTCGCTTTTCTGTAAAAAGTAAGATTTATCATTACAAGATTTACAGTGACACCGTAATGGATCCGTTCCAGCGCCATTTTGCTTATCATAGTATGTATAAACTCAATAGCGCTGCTATGAGAGAAGCTGCAAAATATTTTATTGGGAAGCATAATTTCTCTGCTTTCGGAAATGCATCTCATAACGATCGCGTACCAGATCCAGTGAAGCATATTTTCCGATTCGACGTGAAAGAAATGGTACTTTACATTATTAGTATTTCGCACAAAATTTTCCATGATTGCAGTTTATTTTTTGGGAACTAGAATACTATTTAGTTGATCAAGTCAACATCTATGTGTAGGGAGCTCTTTTGCAGCTAGAAGTTGAAGGCTCGGGTTTCTTATACAGACAAGTCCGAAACATGGTATTCATGAAAAAAATTCTTTTGCAATTGCAAAATTACTGTATAGTTGATGATAATGAATGGTAATACTAATGACATGTATCTGTTTGCATTTTTAGGTGGCTTTGTTGCTTCAAGTAGGTAAGGAAGCGATTCCTCCGGACATCGTTCCAGATCTTTTGGCAAGTCGAGATCGCAGGGAGCTTGCGAAATACTCATTTTATCTTCCACCGCAAGGTCTTTGTCTTGTTTCTATCAACTATAATGAAAGTCACTTGTTGCCTCCACCAGATTGCCCTGCCAAAAGTTTTGGTATGCATTATACCATAAGAAAATGCAAAGCTTTATTCTATTGATAATAGCTAGGTAGCAGAACAAACAGTCTCTGATATTTACACATTCATTGGATGTTTGTGCTTAATGCTTCATAATCATAGTGGAGCCTAAAATAGGGATTTAGCTGTAGGGCTGTTTCAGAGATGTAATTGGGAAGTTCTGTATTTGATATGTTATATTTGGTTAAATTAAAAAATTTAGTTAACTGATGTCTATGTTTTACACTCATCAATTGTGAAAATTCATTTGTGAAGCAGTGACTTTGACTTAATTGACAGCTGAAGAAGGCAAAGTGTGCACATTGTACAGGTATAATGGAAAGCTTCTTAGGCTTAGTTCTGTTTCATGCTATTGTGGCTTTCTCAGCATTTTCAAGTTCTCAAATCAGGTTGTGCAAAGTAAACAACCAATATTAAATCATAATAACCAGTATCACAATGGGTCCTATTTTAAAACCTAGTCATACTTTTTTAGTAAAGCAAAAACTGGTCTATAACTGATAACAATTTACTTTCCAAATAAATGGTTTTAAATTGACTTTAAGGTTCAAAACTAGTTTTTTTTTTAGCCTTTTAAAATAAAGCAATTTTTTCTCCGAATTTGCTACTAAAACCCTCCCTGTTTATATGTATATGCATTTTTGAACGACATAAATCATTGAATATGACTCATATTAATAGAGAAAAATACAATAGGTGAAAATTCTAAACACTGCATCAGTTCCCGCAATATATTTCAGAAGTATTATTGAAAAATTTGGAGGTCTGATTTGAAACAATATACCAATGTCTTCAACAATATAATCACCGGTGAAACTTAGGGTGTTGTAGTTGCAAACAAATTGAGCATTGGAAGAGGGAATATTCAAACAATAACATGACTCATTCAGTTCTGCAAATGTGGTTCGAACCAATGATTCTGGCAGTGAAGCATATATACTCTGTGTTTCATTCAGCAAATACACAAATGTGTGGATTCTGGACTCTGATTGCTCTTACCACATGACACTGCATCGAGATTCAGGTAAGATAATTTTGGATTTGTTTATATGAGTGATGATAAAGCATAGAATGAGACAAATTAAAATTGCCATGAATGATAGTAGCATGCGAGCATAGAACGATGTTTGATATATTTCAGAATTGAGTAAGAACTTGATTTTCCATGTAGTGTACTGAAAAATGGTTTCTCCTACAAATCTAATAGAAATAAGGACATTATGTGAAGGTTAGCAAGAGTGCCTTGAATCAGATGAGAGTAAGGATGACTGCAGGTAACATCTACAAACTGTTGAAGAACATTGTTGTAATACTGATGCATCCAAACTCTGACATATGTGTTTGGGTCATCTCAGCGAGCGTGGCATGATGGAACTTTATAAGAGAAATCTATTGAAGGGTGCTCGTTTTGCAAGATGGATTTCTACAATTATTGTATACTTGAGAAACATTGTCATGTCAGGTTCAAGACTGAAAAACACAAAATAGAGAAAAATTTAGGCTACGTGCATTTAGATATGTGAGGCCTACAAAGAGCTTTTTATGGGTGGTTTCAAGTATTTTGTGAATTTTATAGATGATTTTTTCACAATATTTTGGTGTATTTCTTAAAGCAAAAATATGAAGTTGCTACCAAATTTAAGTTGTGGAAGGTGGACGTGGAGAATCAAACAAGCGTAAAAATCAATTATTTGCGGTCAGGTAATGGGATAGAGTACATTGATTTGAAGTTCAAGAAGTTTTGTGAAAAACACTATATTTAAAGGAATTTCTCAGTTCATAAGACACCACATCAAAATGGTATGGCAGAGAGAATGAATATGTCTCTAATTGAAAGGGAAAAATGTCGATTGTTAAATATTTGACTATCAAAAAGTTTCTAGACAGAGGCAATTAACATAGAGGACTATCTTATCAACATGTCACCAAAGGCTTCATTGGTGGGGAATATTGAAGAGAATGTATAAACATGTAATCCAATTGATCTTGAAAATTTTTAAAAACAGTGTGCCTAACTTATTTGCATATATCTAGTGAAGATCGATTCAAATTTGATTCGAAGTCGAAGAAATGTGTCTTTGTCAGTTATACAAAAGGTGTGAAAGGGTTCAAGTTATGTGATCTAATTTAAAAGAAGATGGTAATCAACATAGGTGTTAATTTTTATGAACATTTAATGGTGAAACAGTTAGTTGCAATAAATGTGTCAGCATCCAAGGGAGAAAATTTCAGTAAACATGTTATTCAAGTGGATGTTGTTCCGCCACCAGTAATATGTAGGTTATATCTGAACCACAAGAGATACCAAACTCTGGTATTGAAATTGACCACGAATTTGAAATTTCAGGTTGAGTACTTGATTATATTATTGTACGTGACAAAGAGCACTATTCAACCAAGCCACCAGAAAGATATGAGTATGAAGATTTTGTAGCACATGCATTTGTTATTAGTTTTAGATATCCTTCCAGCTTTCGAGAGACTATAGTTAGTTAGTTAGGAGAAATATAAGTGGATTGTTGCAATCGTGAAGGAGATGAAATCCTTGAAGAAAAATCAGACATCGGAGCTTGTTCAGCTTTTTAAGGGGAAAAGAATCATCGATGGTAAGTGGGTGCTCGAGAGAAAACTAGCAGTAACAAAAAAGTAAGGGAGAAAAGTTCAAAGCTCATCTTGTAGCAAATGAGTACTCACAAACAGAAGTGGATTGACTATAATGAGACTTCCTCTCTAGTCTCCAAACATGTGGATTGACTATAATGAGACTTCCTCTCTAGTCTCCAAACATTCTTCTATCAGGACAGTGTTAGCCTTGGTAACTAGCCGAGACATGCATTTAGAACATATAAATGTGAAGACAATATTTCTTTATGGTAATCTAGATAAACATATTTACATGGAACAATCAGGGGTTTAGTGACACTAGATACGACATACTAATTTGTAAATTAAAGAGATCTTTCATTCTTCAAGGCAATGGTACAAATGCTTTGATTCCTACATGCTTTAGTTGGGTACAAAAGGTGTGAATATAACTGTTGAGTTTATGTTAGGGGTCTTGACGACGACTCTTTTATCTGCATGTTGATGATATATTGATTGCTACTAATCATTTACATGACATAGGAAATGAAAATCATGTTGAATAAATTTTTTGATATGAAAAATTTAGGTGTTGCTAAGAAGATTCTTATATGGATAAGGATAGGAGTACTAGAAAATTATGGATATCTAAAAAAAAAAAAAATTATGTTAAAAAGGTGTTAGATAAGTTTGATTCGGAACATTTATATCCTGTTAACATTAAATGTTGTGGAATTACTAAATGTCCCAAGTTATGCTATTTAGGCTTCCAGAGGGAATAAAAGATCATACCAAAAAGGAATTGCATAACATTAACATCTATCATAATTGTAGGAATGTAATTCATCTGAGCCAAATACAGGATAAAAATTTGCTTGGCAGATTCCTATAATGTTTTGCCAAGTTATGATGTGATCACATCATATTAACATAAATTACGGATTACAATTCAGATGATACCAATTTCAGTCTTTTGGAAACAAAATCCCTAGTCCCTAGTAATGTTTATTTCCTTTTTTGTTTGGGTCTCTACTCTCCTCTAACCAGACCATAGCAAAAATGCTTCTTCAGTTCTTTGAGGACTTGATATCAGCTTAAATAATACACGGTATCATCATCATCATCATCACAATGTTTAAATATTGTTACAATGATACATCTACTTATAAGTTCTAATGTCAAATGCAGATTCTTTATTTCTGATACTTATCTTCCTCATTTTTCTTCCATTGTCTCTAGGAAGAAGCTTCATTATTGATTTGTGAACAATAGTGCGTGTATGAGTCGTGCGCGAGGTTCTGCAGAACACAGAGAAACACATCATTGTCAGTTCAAAACTCAAATCATATGACCCAACTTTTATGGCTACAAATGACAGGGTAAGAAAAAAGGTTGTTTGAATACCTGTTCCTGAGAGCGGAAATACATGAATGGTGTATAATATAAAAAGTTTGACACCCTAGACGTGTAAATATCAGCATATCTGCGACGATAAATTTAAACAGTTCAATATCAAAAGAGCGAAATGATAAGACAAGATCGTGAAGATCAATAGGAAAACACAAGCACCTACTTCTCAATTTGTCTCATGAAGTGGCTCTTATCCCACAATCCAGCACGAGATAGAAATCCCCACCTAATGCAGACCATTAAGCCAAGTTAATCATGAATGCTCTTTGTAAAACGACAGAAAAGGCCAAGCACAATTAGAGTTTCTAAATGAAAAAGGTCTATTCATTGAACTTACCTTGAGTTGAAGAGCTCCCCGTCTGCCTCCAGCATTGGCGCAATTTTATCATCTAGTCGTTGCATAACAATAAGTAGCTTTTGCATGCTTTCAGTGAGGTCTTCATCATCCATGTTAGTTGCTGCAAGGGTCTTCAAGTACATTGAAATTCTTACTATTGGTGTTAAAAGTAATAATAGAACCAAAACTTAAGCACCTAATAATAAAAAATAATTAGCATATACAATATGATTATAGGACCAAAACTTACTTGAGCAGGGCGGTCTTTGCTTCGCCTTTGTAGAGCTAGCCGAAGTTGGTTAAAGAGATCTCCCACAACTTCCTTTTGATTTATAAGCTCTATCAATGATTCTCTATCACTTCGGCAATTAATCAAGGCATTGTACTGACGTTTTAACATTTACAAAAGTACAAGGACAATTAATAGTTGGATCAAACAAATGCATTGAACAAGCAATCATATACTTTTTTCCTCAAAAAAAAGTGTATTATTATTTTGAAATTCGAAGAAATAAATGTTGTTTCAGAAATTTCTTTACTACGAAATGAGGCCAGTGTGAACTGATTATACAGTTATACTAACCTCCTCTTCAAGTTCTCTACAAATCAACGCTGTTCTCCATCTCAAGTGGAGTTTGGATTGACTGACATCAGTGTAAATATGGTCACCAACATACAAAATCTCATCTCCATGGATACCTAGGGAATTTTCAACCATCTGTGCACTTCCCCCCGAGTACAAACCGCCTGCAGAAGACGGCAAAGCACAATAACCATTAGTAAAATTAGAAACAAATAAAAAATTATAGGACATATTTGCTTCAAGAGTACAAATTACCAGGTTGAGCCTTGAAGCACGGGCGCATTAGACCCTCGCCTGTCACCACTTCATACATGGGGCTTGACGTCTGGAAGAACTCTGGTTTTCTCGCTGACACAATTACCTATCCATTAAAAAGAGCCACCTCTATTTATGAAAGGCTTATCACACAATAGGATAAGGTTGATAATGAAAAAAGTAATGAAGAGGACATAAAGCATTTATCGTCACTCCAATGTCAAGAGTTCAATTTTACTGAAAAAAAAAGTTAACTGAACTTACAATGTCAAAAAGATCTCTCCAACCCATATCATTCGGAAGGAATCTATTAAAAGAATGTCGCATCATTTTGTCTGTGTAAAGAAAGTCCGAGTTGGTAATAAGCACAAGTTTTTTTCCAGCCTGTTTCATGAAGATAACAGAGTAAGCAGTATAAGTGCATCACGTGCTATGCAAAAAAGTTATAACATTTGAGGCAACACCAATACCTCCTTCTGATCCAAAAGTGCCAAAGGTAATTCTGGATCAGGCTCCACAAACAGTTCAGGCTTAGAGGTGATCTCGCTCTGCATAATTTACATAAGTCATTTTGTGCGAAATGTTAATAAAGAACAACATCGAAATTTCGTAGTGGCCAAGACAGCAAGAAGAATGTGTTGACCTTAAGACGACCTTCAACATGAGCCCAGAAAAGAGCTTTTCCAACAGCCTGAAAGTTGTGCCAATGGTTAAGAAAAAACCTCCCTAATCAAATTTAATAATATTTACAAATATTTTTGCACCACGTTACCTTATATAGACCTTTATAATCAAGGGGGCCAAGTTCTGCGGGTATGGTCCCATCATCCAATCTGTCAACCATCTGAAATAAATTATATCATCAATAAGGTCTTATTATAATATAATAATCATCTTCGTAGCACCAACACCTCTCTGAAAAAAGCCATGTTTGTGTCAGTGTCGGACACCGACACCAACACAACCCATTACCCTTTGGAGAGATAAAGAAAAGCCACATAATACTACTGCAAAATGAACAATATAAAGGAATGTATCCCTGTTTCTGAAAGTTTTATGGTTTTAACAGTAATTGCAGCATACCTGCATGTAGGCCACTGCTTCAGACACAGAGAATAGTGTGTTGAGAAACTCCCATCGACTCTCTTTTCGCAGGTCCACCAGTTCTCTCCCGTACATCTCACTTCCATTGCATACAAAATTAAGTAGCACTACAGAAACTATTACACCAGTTTTCTATAAATGACATCTACTAAGCTACTAATGTGTGTGAGCATAGCCGCATGATGAGTAATACTGTATACATATGTCAATGTGAATATTTTGCTACAAGGCTTTCAATCAATGAAACACAGTACATGATCCATGTCAACAACATGCAAATGTACAATAATGCTCAAATCTACTGTTGTTTAAGAAGATGGGCTTTCGATTCTAAATGGAAACTTAAGATGAACACTTTACTCTATTGTTTTGGCTATTTGAATTAAGCGTTGGTTTTCAAAACATCATATTTATCTTGAATGCATGTCTTGATAAGTTAGTGCAGAACGTGATGATATAACAAGATAGACTCTACATGGATTTCCATTATCAGAAATTAAAATTGCAAGGCCTGACACTTACCTAACAGCCCGAGTAGATAACATTTTGGTGCCATGCATGGCTCTTTTTACATAACCAAATCGATCAGCTTTAACCAAGTTGCCTCTCTCTTTGTCTATGACAAGGCCTCTAATTACCTGAACAATTAACAATAAAACGCAAAGATCACTCCAACAAACAAGAGATATTATGGATTGGATTTACAAATGCCTTAAGCTTGCTAGAGAGAACATGTTACCAGGTCAGGATCAAACGCAAGTCCGTCAACAGGGAAGCCCATATTCTTAAGGTTTTCCATACAGTAGTCATAAGCCCTTCCTTCCCAAGCCTACAGTTCCAAGTAACGCAACAATAAATAAACTCTTTTATACAAACTATATGATATATGGGAAAGAGGTATACCTTCACATTATAATGGATAAGGGTATAGTCCATGTCATATCCAATGGCACTAATTGACCGCAGATTCAACGTGCGGGTGCAGAATATTCCACGGGGTGAATTTTTGGATGAAGAGGGGCTCTACATGAGGAAACAAAAACAGTGAGTTTTACTTACTGTATATCTTTACACGAAACAACACCATAGTAAATATCATTACAGAGAAGACTGAAAGCGCAAAATTGAAGGATTTGAATGATAGAGAAATAAGCAGATGATAATAGCATAAGTAGATTACATCAAACATCAACCTTTCGAAAACGTTTATAAAAATATGGATATGCACACAGCAATGAGTTGGCACAAGATATATAGATGACACTTTCATTTATGAACTAATATCATAGAACACAGGGATGTACACCACAGAATCATTCAAGCCAAAAACATTTGCAAATTCGAAAAGGCGCAAGTAAGCAAAAATACTGCACCGGAATGCCCAAGTCTCTAAGCAAATCTTCTGCCTCTCTAGTCTCTGATCTAGCCACTTCCTCGATTGGACCTTCAAATGCATCATCACCAATTCCTACAAGGTAAGAGACCAATATTTTACATGTTAGCATTAATTAACGAAAGCCACATTCAATGTAATTCAATGTAAGAACATTGGAATCTGTTTGGTTTGAGGAAACATTTTCGACCTTAACAGATAATAACAACAAAATAAGCAAGGAGACACTTTTGTGATTATTAGGATAACAAAACATCACATGGCATTCACAATTTTTGAAACAAATATTTGAAAACAACGAATAAAATAAAAGCAATACCAAACAAAATTGAAATGAGATAGTGAAATAATGGAAATTTAGTAAAGTTAAAAAAATTACCAAAAGCCTCAAGCTGTTCCAACTTAACATTCAAATCTCCCTTTGTGCTTTCGCCGAGGTAATCCACATCACACTTGTTCGGCGGAGTCACCGAGAAAACATCTCCTCCGATGGACTTTGAGTCTATGGTGCAACAACAAGGTGTCAGAACTTTGGCTAACCTGATATTGGCAGTGTTATGGGAAGTAGGTATCCTGAAAGCTGTGTTTGTGGTGGGTGCCACTGGCGAGGAAGCATCAACACCGTGAACGGCGGCGAACATAGAGAGAAGCTTTGCTGCATTCATGTGTAGGCGTGGGGTTGAGGAGGAAACAGAATCTTTGTCGGGGAACACTGAAAGTGAAAGAGTGTAATTGCGTGAATGTGAATTGTGGATAGGAAGAGGAACAAAACAGAAAAAACAATTTATTTTTTTTGGATTTGATGAGTGTTTGTTTATAGGCCCAGAGCCTTTTACTTTTTTACTTTATTTATTTTTTTAAGAAGCCTTTCATCTTTAATCAAAGTACACCAAAACAAAGACTATTTTTTTATAGAAGATATTTATTTAAAATTTATAACGAATTTTTTTTAATGTAACTAGATTTTTCCCAAAAAAATATCAAATAAATTAAAGTTTTAAGAGATTGACGAAATTTCCGTTTGGTTTGGCGACTCAAGCAAAACTTTGAGGTATCGCCGTATGAATTGGCGATTGCGTGTATAGGGAATGGGTTGGGTCGCCAATTGATTTGTCTACCTGGCCCAAATATTTTTTTTCTCTATTAGGGTTTCGAATTTAATTTAGTTTAAATAATAATAAAAAATAGTTAAATTAAATTTAAGTTATTTAAAATATTTATATAAATTGAATTGGTATAATTAAAATATTTATACAAATTGATACATTTTAATTAAAATATTTTGTTATACATTTTATAAATTAATAAGTATAGTTTAATAATATAAATAAATTTAAATTGATTTAGGTTTAATTAATTTTAAAATAATAAATGTAATTGTAATATAATTTTAAAATACATTTTAAATATATTAGTGATTTAAAATAAAAATTGATTTAAATAATAAATATTGTTTTTAAATTATAAATATGTTGAAAATTTTAAATTTTAAATGAATTTAAATAAAAAATAAAAAATAAAAATGGATTTATATATAATTTTTAAACACAAAAAATATAAATAAGTTTAAATTTTAAAACATAATAAATATTTATGATTAACCATTGAATTTTAAAGTATATAAATTTTGTAAGGGTATTTAAGACATATCATATGGGGCAAGTAGTATTTTATTTTTCTATAAATACGACTGCAAACACATATATGTTTCCACAACATTGTATATTAAAAGACTAAAGTGTTAACAATTTTGAGTCGCCAAGGGGTCTAGAATGTCTGCATTTCTAAATCAACGTTCTTCGTCGTCGTCATCAGCATCGGAGGAACCCTTTCCGACATTCGATCTAATGAAAAGAAATGCGCTAATTTTTTTTCCAGCAATAAAGCCTCCGATGAAGGTGCTCCTGTGGAATACGCATACGTTAGAGCACTTGCATAGGAAACTGAACCGCTGGCTAGAAGAAGATATTGCTCAAGGAGAAAAGATTAGGAAAATTGAGAGGTTGGTCGAGGAGGCTGGGAGAAACGGAGTTACTCGTGAATGGAGAAAAGTGGAAAATAATGATGGTGTCCTTGTGATGATGTTAACACCAAAGAAGATAACGTTGATGGTCGTGATATCGTAGACGCCTTGGTGCATTGTTCTGTTTTATGTCTTTATGTTGTTATTTTCATAATGTTGTTGTGATATTAAGTTATGTTTGTTTAATTTCTGTTGCTTGGTAATTGTAATCGGTTTAGTATGCTTTAAATGGAATGAAATTTGCTATTGATTTAAAGGGACACAGTTACATATGGAACTATAATCTGCTACTTGATCCTGCATGCCTACAATGACCTTGCAGGCCTACGAGATTCTTACTCTGCATGCAGCATGCTTGACAAGATAACACATTGCTTACCAGCTGCACTCTGTCTACAGTAACTGAATTCTTGCATGCATATCAATGACCCTGCAGGCCTACGACACTCTTACTAATAAATGTATGTCACATGGCCACAGTAACAATCTAAACACTGTATAATGCATTTTTAAAATTTAATGTTGAATATATTTACTGTTGCGTTACTTGTAATATTATGTTTGTCGCTAAAAATATTATGTTTACATTTATTAAGCCAATACTATTATTACACTCTTACTAATTAAAAATATGTTAAACCTAATAACGAGTAAGTTTTATTAAAAGACGCAACTCAGTTTCTTTGACAAGACAACACATTGCTTAACAACTGCAACCTGTCTAGTGAATTGATTCCCTGCATGCCTACGATGACCCTGCCTCCAGGCCTACGAGATTCTTACTCTGCATGCAGCATGCTTGACAAGACAGGACATGACAACACTATGCGGTTCACATGTGACCCTGCATGCTGACAATGACCCTATATGCCTACGAAATTCTTACTCTGCATGCAGCATGCTTGACAAGACAACGCATTACTTACCAGTTGCACTCTTACTAGTAAATGTATGTCACATGACCACATTAACAGTCTGAACACCTAATAACGAGATTCTTACACATGCATCAAGACACTTGTCCTGCATGTATTTACAAGACACATGCATCAAGACACTTGCCCTGCATGTATTTACAAGACATATGCATCAAGACACTTGCCCTGCATACGTTTACAAGACACATGCATCCGTGGAATAAAAATAAAGGTTATTTACCCAGCAAAATCTGCTCACACTTAAACTCTCAAACTCTCAAATTCTCAAACTCTCAAACTCTCAAAGTCTGAAACTATCAAACTCTCAAACTCTCAAATTCTCAGTTTCTCAAACTCTCAAACTCTCAAACTCTACTCACCTAGTAAATAAATTCGTAAACCACAATGTATCTACTCACAATGGGCAACTCTCACAGAGGCACGATTGAAAATGTCACCGAGTTTGTAAGTTTTTAGTTTTTGTCTATGTTTACAATCTTTAGTTCTCCTATAAAACTAGCGAAACATTAATTATTTTGCAGGATGCATTAAGGTTTCGATGTCGTGTGCATGATTACATACCACACGACCCCCTCATAGAGGGATACCTTCGTCATTGTGGGTTTGGTGATGTGATTAAAATCAAATCATACTCGCTCGATGCGAAGTTCATTCTAGCGTTGTTAGAACGCTGGAGACCAGAGACACATACATTTCACCTACCTTTTGGTGAGTGCACTGTGACTCTTCAAGATGTCTACATGTTGCTCGGCCTACACATCAATGGTAAGGCTGTCAACGGCAAAGTTGGTGTTAACGACCAACTTTGCAAAGATTTATTGGGCGCCCTTTTTTGTGTGGACGCAATTCAAGAAGAACGCGAGGGTCGCCCGAGGGGTCAGGGAATAAATCTTAAATACCTCAAAGAACAATACAACAGTATTGTCTTAAGTGAGGGTAGCACCGACTATGACAAAATAGTCAAAACACGGTGCTATATTATGATTTTGTTTGGTCAAATTTTATTTCCAGAGGGCACTGGAAATAGCGTAAATATTATGTATTTACCATTGCTACAAAACATAAACAAAGTGTGCGAATATAGTTGAGGATCAGCTGTCCTCGCCCATCTGTATAGTGCACTGTGTAAAAATTCCTGTACTTTTTATGGCTGCGCCTATCTCCTACAAGCATGGGGTTGGTCTTGGATGCCAACGCTTGCTCCAATAAACTGGAATTCGTTTACATTCTCGTACGCCAACAAGTAAGTTTCTTTTCAAGACTATTTAGCAACCAAATTTTCTTTGTAAGTTAATAATTTGTGAGATGTATTTTAGATGCTAACTTATATGTGTTTCTTTTTTTTAGGTGGTCTGTTCCAGGGATGAATTATCAGAGATGTCCCAGGAACTCTTTAATTGTGTACCAGAACCTCATCGACCATCTTGGGCCAGATGATGTAAGTTATCTACCTTTAATTTGTCTAACTTATATGCATAAACTTGTCTATCTTTGTTTGACTAAATGTATCCACCTTTATTGTAGTTTGTCTGGATATCGTACGAGGGTCTCGACCACCAGCCCGACCCCAATGATGTTGCTGTGTGGACATCAAGAACATACATCATTAGGTTCACTACGGTGGAGATGCACCAAAGTGACAGGGTGAAGCTACAAGTTGAGATGCATTAGGATACTCCAGATGCTCCGACATCATTGGGGCAGTGGTATCAGTAACAGGTGGACTCACAGTGGAATGTCAGTCATTGCAAGGAGTTTGCGAAGGAGATGTGTCAACACTGGAAGAACAGAAGGCAACACATCTTAACCGACCAAATTGTGGAAGGGGCTAGGCCAAGTTATCAATATATGACTTGGTTTAGGTTGGTCACAACATCTCAACCAATTATGTCTGAGCCAACCTATTTGATTGACCCAAGGCAACACGCTTCTTCATCAAACACATAACAACAGTCCAATGCCCAACATCAGCCTTACCATAACCCATACGTGCCACCAAATGCCCAACATCAACAACAACATACTTACTGTGACCCGTACATGCCACCCACCCAGTCACAACATCAACCACCATACCAATATATCCTTGATACGTCTTTGGACCCTACCCCCTCCACCTATAGCACAGATAACTCATTTGACCCTACCCCCTCCAACTATCCATTGTTTGACTACCAAACCCCACAACAACCAACACACAATTTCCAACCCAATTCGATGTACGAATTCAGACAACCATACCGTCCATACTCAACCCAACCTCCCCGACAATCCTACGAAAATATGGGCATTGGGCTTAACTACGGAAGCACCATTGATAGTGGACCTCCCGACTATTGGGGTCAAATGCTTCAAAATTTATCTGATACGTCGGGGTCGTCCCAACAAAACCCTCCTCCACAGCTCAACACACAAAGACCGGACACACCACAGCAACCTCGTCGTAGACCTCGTCGCAACGCGCATCCTTCACAATGTGGCACTGGTGGTCGCTTGGATAGAGCCGACCATTAGTTTTTATTTTGTTCAATTGTAATTTTCATTATATTGCACCATTAATATATTTTAATATTTATTACATGTCTATATTTTTTAATGTTATTTAAATTTCAATTAATTATGAAAAACATAAACTATAATTTAATATTTATTCCATTTTTTTTTCATTTTTTACATTTTAATTAATTATGAAAAACAAAAAACA